GGAGAGGAAGTGTGGGTTTCACCATCACCCGACGGTCAAGAGCGGTGGAAGATTGTGTGGTAAATGCGAAGGTCGGTGCAAAGTTATAAGAAATAAATGTTGGAGGGAAAACTCTCAGAAAGCGAGCATATTTGAGACGACATCGGAGAAAACAGTATGGACTGGGAGTGGAGAGTTAAATGGCACTTGGCAAGGACAGCATGGCCGCAGATACAGCGAAGATGACGCGAAGTGGCAATGTGTAGGGCGAATATGAGAGGTGTGTCATAGCAGACCAAACGGGTTGGCCAACGGAGTGTACCAGATAGCCAATAGGAGATGGGTGTAACGGATTTCGTTGCTGAACATGGATTGGCCGACATACATGAAGTGCCTCAGCGCCTCAGAAGGGTTGTTAGTGATGGACATGAACGCGTAATCGATATCGGGGCGTTTGGTTTGCCGAACGTACTGTAAGTTTCATTGAGTTGACTTTTCCGACTAATCGTTTGTACCTGAAGGACTGAGTCCATAGCAGTCTAGTTAGTACGACGTTCTGAATTCAGGTTTGTGCACACTACGCCTCACATATCTTCTATCTGATTTACATCATTTGGAGTTTCTGGTGCAGCAGCATTGTAAGGGCTACCAGACTTGAGCGGTGCATTGCTTGAGCGACCTTGCCGCGACCTTGAGCAGCTGTGAAATATGTGGGATTGAACTTTATCAAATTAATCAACATGGGTGTTAAATATCATTTGCTGGTTTTTGAAGTGCAAGATCTCACTCTAAACCGGCACTGTAATGACCCGCCCCTGATAGGATTATTTCAAGATGTGCGTCACAGCGCACATAGACTGTTCGATTCGTTGATTTTGTGAATAATGTTACACCTGAACGTTTTAGCTCGAACCCTTTTCTTCGCTAAATACAACAATGGCTTACCATGATTTAACATGGGATATAAAACTTTAGCACAAATGATAGCGCACACATTCATAAATGTCAGCAGAGCAAGCAGACCCAATATTAATCGTTGAGGTAACTAGAATTTCACCTCAACTGGATCAGACATTAGGTTCCAACATTTAGCACACAGTCGCATCTGCAGCAAATCGTTGCTACGCTAATCAGTATCATGATCCCCGATTCAGGAGCTTCAGAGTTCATGGAACAAGATGTGATTATCTAAGTGGTCAAAGATGCTGTGGAAACCTAGCATCAATTTGAACCTTAGAGCTAGAACGAAATTTTCGACTTGCCGCTCAATCAGAAGATTAGTGGTACATGCATGTTATTCGCTGCACTACTGCAAAGTAAAGTTTTGCCTAAAGTATAACATCAAAGTTAAATGCAGTGTTAGAATAACTGCTCGGTAATTATTCGTGGGTTTTTTCGACTGATGCAGTTACAGTCGTAGATGATTTCTTGTACCATTAAGCTGGTTCCATTTAAGAATCTTCGAAAGAATGTGTTAAATGTGAACTCTTTAAAGAGTGGGAATTTCCGTACTTCTGACCGAATATCATAGACGTTGGAGTATTATGGATACCCAGACAACATGCCCCATATTTCATTAGCTGCGTTAAAGATTACATTGCCATACCATATTTTCGTGGCGCCGGATACAGTATTGTAACGCAAACTAGCGGCATGTCGGCAAGTGTGGCTACTCACATTCTACAATACTAAGCTGCAAATTCTCAGCCTGTCGCTTCTGTGTGTGATGCACTACTTCATGAAACCTTGGAACACCCACACAGTAGTAGGACAACTACTGCGCCAACATTTTGGTGGAGTTTTTGGTGCCCCACTGGTGCACGCGACAGAAAACACATTGGTTTGTTTGTTCTTTCGGCGCAGAGGTGACCATTCGGCTAATTGCATTAGGTACAAGCTCAATTCTGCTCTGACCCGCACTTAAGCAACTACCCACTTACGACTCATCCATGCCACAAGATAGCTTGTGCTTCAACACCATCCGAGCAGTCGGTTCGACAGTCTGGAGTCTCATGTTATCTGCCATTTCACCAGTACTTGTCATGACGTTTGCATCAAAAGGACTAACAGACTGGCTCAAAAGTTGGCATAACACTGCCCAAGTTGATTGAGACAGCTGATGTCACAGCAGCGCGCAGTGAAACAAGTGACATCCGAACTCTGTCTCCCCGTCTCAAAACATCTCGTTACCACTAGGTATCAATTTAACACACAGAACCCTTTCAAAACGATTCCTCTTGATGTGAATCCGAAATGGATGGCAATCAGAGAGGCGATATTGATCAGCGAGAGTAGTTCTAAGATGTGTGCACAAGACGATGGGAACATTCAGTTGGATTGCCATGGTCCAGATTACGTTGCACTTTGTTTCTGAACGTATGTTACCCCATGTACTTTGGTTTACCTCCTGCACATATTGCGTCTGCGAATGACAACACAATATTTTTGCTTTTTCTGTGTTGATGAAGTGAATAAAGGGAAAGCAATTTCCCCCCTTCAACATTAGCCTGATGTAGGAGCAATTTTCATCGCCATACCGTTTGGCTGAAATAAATTAACTTTTCCATACAATTCGATGCCGAATTAATACACCATCACTTGGTTGCTGGAAGTCTAGCACATTTACGCGCCTCGCCAATCTATTAGATCCGTAGGTACTATCATGGACCACTGAGTTCTAAATTTGAAAAAAGTATGAAGTTTTGTTGATGGTTGAATGTTCGTTTCGGTTGCGCCTGTTCATAGGGTGCTCGGTTCTTCCAAGTTTAACAGAGGTAAGTATGCAGCTTAGCGAGACCTGTCAGGACAAAAGGTTACAAAATTAATCGTGTCCGTCCAGCGTTTCTCCAGTGGTACCCTGTACTATGTTCACAAATATGCTTCGTGTTTTCCAATTTACCGTGGTTGACGCGCTCTTGATCGAAATCGTGCAGGTCATGTGTTCTAAGCACAGCACATAGTTTGTTGCATATCTGAGCTAAAATGATGAAGAGGCAAACTGTTGGGAGTGGAATATTCACGATGCATTTTAGCAGTTAGAATCTATACTTTCGGAATTTTGATTTCGCTATTTTGTCCCTTCAGCACTGGATTCATCCGAAGTGTAGGTATGAGGCTGTACCTCAAACGATGAAGTTTTCTCAGCTCGAGAATCTGGTGGAAATCATTTCTGCTGTATGTATTCGCAAACGACATTCCGCTAGCATGTGAAGAATATGTCATGTTTACCTCATAACCGGTACCATATGGAACCAGGGTTCTGGTCCTCGGCATCTTTGATCGGTGCGTATCATAGTTCACTTTAGAGGTAAAAGTTTATATCATAGTAGTTGGCGAGAGGGTTATTTCCAAGCATTGACATAGTTTTTAGGTTCACATCATAGTCAGTAGACTACTGCCGCGGTCAAGTTTTACACACTGGAGTACAGTGGTTGGTGTATGATGTAGAAGAATTTGACAAGCACAAGCAGAAGATATTCGGTGAAAGGGTACCTACTGGCAGGATTTCCGAATCTATGAAAGAGCACCGAACTACTTGTCTTACCGAAATTTTTAAAACGGATTTGAGCAAAAAGTGAAATCTCCGGGTCAAATTAAAAGTCAAAACAGAACATACGCTACGGTGTTTGATACTTTCCACCAAAGTGTACAACCCTGTTGTCAAGATACGAGCGGCTGTCTAACAAAACGGAAGCTTCAGACAAATGAATTCCAATCAGTCACACAGCTGCGTAAGCGGTCCGCTTAGACATGAGTTAAATTAGGAGGATCGATCGTCTAATCAGTTAGTCTGCAGTCACATTGGTGGGTCAAAGGAGGGTTAGCAGCGTATGCAAACACGAGGGCTTGAAAGACCAGCAGCGTTCTAGTTTCAGCTGGGCGAATGTCATCGCATGAAACTGAACATTTACTGAGTGGTAATCAGTAAAGCTAGAAGCAAAGGAGGCTGTACGTATGTTGCATAGATGTTCAACTAAAACCTTGGGTCAGGAAAACAAAACAAAGTGCTAGACGTAAAGGGAACGTGTTTGAACAGTCAAATGGTCGGTATAAGCTTGTGGTTGAGTTTTGACAGCACCTATCGGGGAAATTTTGAAGTTAATTATTTTTGTTGAAGTGTTGACAGCTGGTAATGGGTAGTACTTAGTGACCTCATAATTGGGCTCTCGACTATTGTCTTGGGGTGATTGATGATGTAGAGAAATAAGCTTCAGTGTTCAACCAACAATTATTGTCGAATTAATTTACACATTTTCCGTCCGGCTATTAAGCCATTTGCGTTTTGATTCTTGTAAGTTATTTGTCAATAAAGGCATTCTTGCTTCATACTTCCAAATTCACTCACTCATCAAGATAATAGACAGCAGTTGCACTGGCAATTGCGTTATTGTCTAAGGCATCTCCAGTTTTGCCATTAATGAACATATTTAGGATTCAAAAACACGTACAACTGGGTGACAATTCGTGTAAGTTTGGAAATGCACAATATTGCGCTACTTTTATTATACCAAAGTTCTTTTCCAAACATTTCGGTAGATGTGCCAAGTTTATCCATAATAGCCAAAGGAGCATTATGACATATGCTTTAGTGTCTGGGATGAGCCGGTGCGCAAGTACAGTTCTTTTGCGAAGTAGATTTATGAAGCGAAAGACAAAGGGTTCCCTTTAGTTGTAACGCGTATGTTGTGGGTACTGAAAAATTTATGGTTTATAGTGAGTGCTGGTAACTAATTCGCAAGTATACCAAAGCGAAATGCGATTAAACAAGTGCTTCAGTATATTTCAGTCTAACAGAACAAAATAACGTCTCTGGGGAGCGGATGCAGCGAGATGCAGTCACGGATAATAGGCGGTGTGTAAAAGAAGCATACACTTCTTATCGTGCCTTCCAATATGCCTGGGTTAAAACATACGTGACTTACTTATCTGGGCTTGTTACCTGGATTTAAATGCTATACTAGGCCTTTAGGCTTGTGAGTAAACCCAATAAAATATAATTCGATAGCACAAAGAGATCATAGTTACCCAATATCAAGGTCGGACCTACCGAATTTATCTGAAGAAACCGTGAAATAAGTCGTGTTCGATCCAGTGGATTGGATTTGTATTCGATACACATGGGGGCAGGTAGTCGGTGGTCCTAAGGGTGCCCACATCACCAATTGTCTACCAGGTCCGACGTTTGTGACGCTCACATTAGGTGGAGGCTCTAAGGCTGCGAATACAAAACATTTAAAATATTAAATGCACATTTATGCAAAAGTTTAGGTATTGCGTTTACGTAACTCTGGTGGCTTGAAGCACATGACAACCACATAACAAAAGTTAACTACGCAGACAGCAAAATAACCTCTGTCGACATTTAAACACAAATACATGATAACAAAACGAAAGGTCATCCGAGTCGTGGCCATTCCGATCATAGGGACATCATCTGGAAACTTTGGTCTGTATTCCTAAATCAGCCTTAGCTATTGTAATAAACCTGCATTGGTTATTATGTCATGTGTGTCCACAGAGTAGTGGTTGTCATTTTGCTCATTTTTGCAAATAATTTCACGCGTAACGGATGCCAGTTTCTGGAAAAAAGTGTATGTTGCTATTGCATTAAGTATTTCATACTTTTTAAGGCGAACCAATAGATTATCTCCTGGGGGATTAGATTGCATTTTATAACTAGATTAATACTAACAGGGTTAATACTGTCATAAACTACAGAATGTTCTATTTGTGTTGTTACCTAGAAGGAATCTTCAATATTTTACCGGAGCAAGTTTCTGGACCTTGATACTTGCTAGTCTACTTTGTTCTTAAACATTAGTTCTGCTAATACTGGGTTCCGCTAGGTTCATGTTGATGTGTTTGTTCAAGCGCGTTAACTACGCACAGTCACCTTTTCATTAGGAAATACTTCTCTCTGTTGCTGGATTCCACAACAGAGTTTTCTGTGGACTGTAGCCAATTGCAGTCAATCAAATACTTGTAATTTATAGCTGGCCAGCAAGTTTATATTATTATCAGTCGCGAATGATACGTAACAAGTCAGTCATGTATTGTCATACCCTTCAATGTCAAACGCTGACAGCCATCTAATAGAGCAGTAAGGCTGCTCTACGAATCGAATATGCCCACTGCAACTCCCTTAGGTTCGCAGCACCTCTTCAACCATCTGCTTCAATCATGAGGAAGCGTGTTCAACAGCAGTCTCATGGGAGCACCCCAGACTATAAGGGCTGTGTGTGCAGTGTAGGAAGTTATCAAGTACTTACTGAACAGCTCTAGATCCATTGCTCATATTTGAATATATACATATATAGTGCATAAAAAGTTGTTAAAATAACTCCTAGGGTGCAACACCTGCAAGCGAATATGCAACATGTATACCTGAAGATTCGAAGGAAGCCGTAACTTATTTTCACCCAGTTACCCCTGATTTAATACGTAAATGGTAGCGAGTACAACTGCGGTTGTGTCCTAGACCAAAATGTATTACAGTCATTAAGACAATGATGACCGTATTAGAGAGCAAAGTTAAGCGCTGTGCATTGCAATTGTGCGGTCTGGCAAATTCGTGACTTTCGGGACTTTTTCGTTTGAGAGTCTAACCATGAACCTACTGATTCACAACGCGGCATTAAACGAGGCCTTTGAGCTGCCTATCAGCAATGAGCACCAAAACACTCCAGGCAACCTAGTCCTACTGGTACATGGGGCGATACAATGCCGGCTTCGCAGTTCCAACCTCATATCCACAGCCAACTTCCATTATAAGAGAAAACGGGGGGTTTATCGTTTCGATTTTTGCTTTTGAGCATCTGTCTGCTGAAAAAGCAAGTGCATTCGCTTGGCGAGTTTACTTGACTGACAGTTCAGACAGTTGATTCACACTGTGAACGTTGCTGGGCAAGCCATCTGCTCAAAAGCCTAATTTCCGATATTTGGCTTCAGTCGCTAACGAAGTCATTGGAATACCCCTCGGTTCTTCTGGAGATTTACCACAAACGCAGTAGCACATAGATCAAGCCCACGGTGCGCGCATTTCCGCCGTTCACATAGGAGCTATACAAATGAGAGGTAATGTTATGTATACAAAAATCCGCGCTAGCTGCGGTACCACAAATAGTTTAGACAACACGTGTTGCAAGTGAACCTACAGGTACCGTGGATCACTGGGGAACAGTTGTAGCAAGGCAGCAGTACTATGATGCTACTGCTATCGCTGTAAATGGGATTGTGCATCAGCTGTATTAACTTGTGCGGTTCTGCGGATTTCACAGCCTCATTGGACCAATCACCCCTGCTGGTTAAAGTCTGGTTAGACCAAAAATGGTTATGCTTGCGTAGCAAAGCTTAGTTGCGGCTGATGTGACAGTCTCATTATGAGACCGATTGAACAAAACGTGTGATGAGGATGTTGGCAGTCATGATACCAATTGTGTCAATGCTACCTTAAAGAATGATGGATTGCCGCGAGGTGAGTTGTGACTTTCCTAACTTTCACTTGTTCCTAGTCTTTTCGGAACGCAAATACATGTTCACCAAACTGTCTGCATCATGCGAGGCTTGGATCTGGGCCCATGAGATAAACCTGATTTTGGCCTATCGGCCACAGAATCTAAAGATCCATACTGTGCATGACAGGTGTTATATAAGGCGTACCAACCTCCTCCTGGTAGGCCTTCATCACCAATGGGGTTCAACAGCGCAATTGCGTCATCAACTCAGACAACAGGATGGGGGGTGATTTTTCACTGCCTCATCCCCATTTAACGTTTCCTCATTGGTTTGCTTTTATTTTTGCGGCCTTTCTTTGTCTCTGATAGACAATATACAAGAAAGTTTTATACGATGTAACGGACCTCGTGATACATGCCCACCCAACTAGCCAAGTAATGATGCCAACAAGGTTCCTCCTACATTCCAGGGTGGGTGATATCCATACTTGGTAAATACTTATGAAGATTCTGTTTGTTTCTTCTTATTTGTTCTTATTGTTTGTAGCATATACCTGCAAATATGGTTAGTGCTTACAGTGTACTTGCTCCTCTGCTATTCTTGATGTATGTCAACGATGTATTTGACGCAGTGAAATTTGGAACACAACACGGTGTTGCCAACGATATTAAAAGTGTCTGCACTTTGCACCCTGCTGTTATAAACCACACTAGCAACGTGATCCAGCTCGACCTTTGCACGTTCGGAACCTGCTACTCACAGTGCGGGGTATTATCTAGGAAAGATCCGTGTTACACAAGGTTTTATAAATGCGCTATAATATCTAGCGGTCTGCCTATTTGTGATAAACAAGTTAATATATGCCACACTACTCGGAACTTGGGGCTGAAGTGTTCGTGGTCAGTTGACTTCTCAGAACAAAAATCTTACATCAATACAAAGACCAAACAGAGCATTGAAATGGTAGTTAGAACAATTAAATTTAACAAATCTACCCACAGCGTCTATTCATCACTTCTCGTCCCCTACTGGAATACTGCTTAATGATCGACAGCACCGTAGGCAAGCGTGATACCAATGTACTAGAAAATGTACAACAATGATTCACAAGAGCTTATTAGGTACATTATCGAAAGTAAAACATGAAGAACAATGTACGAAACTTACGTTTGATCCCCTCTGTCTGAGAGGCATGGAGCCCAACCTAATCACAGTCTTTAAGGTCTCACACAAGAAAATGCGTTTCTAACTGTAACATGACAATAACACAATCACAAGTATACAACACACAAAATAAGGTGAATTCATTAACGAAATTCGGGTCGAAGTCCACCACCTCCGCCAAATTCTCCCTTAACATCTATACCTGAATCTGAAATAAAGTACCATCTGAAATACATGTTTGTAATTCAGATCAAGATGTTCGCATACAGACCAGTAAGTATTTGACTGCGTAGAATGTGACCCACCTATTGAAATGTCACATAACAACAAGCTAAGCATACGAACAAAGTTCGGGATCCAAATGACTCAGGAAACAGTCTGCAAGACAGAGTGGAAAAGCCACTACGCGCACCGTCTTTAGCTTGTTTCTTTCTCTCACATGGCTATGCCAACCATGAATTTATCATCAACAAGTGTGTGCTATGTGAGGATGTCAATTGCACACACCTCTACATTCTCCCTCTTCGTCCGTGGCGTTCCTTTTACCCTTATTGCAATCTACGCTTACTTTTCCGTCTTAGAGACCTCTCTTCCCCCAGTCGCAAGCGAGTGCCGCAACCAACACTCGATATTACTGAATAACCATGAGCAATGCAACCGTCACAATGTAGCATAGAAAATATATACATATTTCCCACTTACGTTAAACACCTTTTTTATTATCCAAATTCATCTAAGCCTTTCATATTCATATTCACAAGGGACCTACCAAGCCCGATAAAGACATCCCCTACAGCATCAGATAACACGCTGAAACAACCACCAATAGTTATACCCTGTCAAAAATGAAAATCCTTTTGCAGCACAGATGTGCATTTCGCGAGCGTTCGTCGTCCTTGCACTAGCAAATATTTTTAATTACCTAAACATGCTCTCACAAGCGCGCCTCGCCGCAAATGGGAATATACTGTTTTATTTACTTGAAATTATGTTTGATAGAAGAAATTTGGGTTTTGGATTTGACTAACTTTCATTGTCCGACTGTGTACTCCGCAAACCCACCTACAGCCTATCTTGGTAATTATAGTTTGTCAATACCGCACTTAACTGGATGTAATCTCGCGGCGCTCGGTTAATAATATGACAAAGGGGAATGAAGGAACCTGTCGAGTTCGCACTTGTGGTTGTACTGGATAACGTTGAACATGACATAACCGAGGCCAGTGGTGTGCTTGAAGTCGCATCGTCACGCCTAATTGTTGGCGAATCAGTCTGATGTTTGTCACACTAGTCAACTACCAATTGATCGTTAGAATGGTTTGGCAGTGTGTCACCACAGCCGGATTTACGACTACTAAATGCGGATAGTATTTAAACAATTGAACTAAACTGACCTAAATGGTCAAATAACTAAATGCAAAGTGTGATCAAACAACTTCCACACTGCTGCGCTACAACATCTCAAGATGTCTTGCTAAAGTGACTATTTGTAGTCCAAACTTCAAGCTGAATTCAGTGAAAAATAATTTGAGGCATCTTTATCACCCTTGTGCAGACTAGCGTAGATGTTCATGACAACAGTTAGTCAGCCAAGAGAATATTTGGAAAAACACATTAAATAGTTTACAGATTAAAAGTTACATTCGAAGTATGAGGCTACGCATTCGGGTATGGCGGAATACTTATTCTGTGCCAGCCATGAAGCTGATTATATCTAATAAAGACAAAACAGGATAAATTTTGCCACGTCAAACCGTAGCCTGTTATAAAGCGATCGATTGCGAATTACTTATAAGTGCTCTTGGTGCAACGCGCCAATTCTGCAAATCAGTACATCATCACTAATTTAGATAGATCAGTTCTAAACGTCCCATCAATGCAAAGTTCAATTTCAGCGTAATGGCTTGCTCTTCACAAGTATATGTTGCATGTGGATAAATGCCGGATGCACGTTATGATCGAGTTGTTGTGTAAATGGTTAGAAAATGGTGGTGGTTGAGCTCCGTGTCCCATAACACCTACCGGGTGCTGGAGTTGAAATCATCATAGGGTCTGTCCAATCACTCGCACAATTTCTCTGCATGTCCAGTGATTGTAGCAAAACAAAATAGGTTGAGCAAGGCTGCGCATTCCACTTGAGCAGAGGATCGCCAGCACTGAGAAGCACGGACCGAGCGGGCGTTGCCGATGTTTGTATCATAACGCGGTAGTGAGAAATATTGAACCCGTCTGAACTCTCTGGTACATGATAGTAGATTATAAAGCCAGTAGCGGTCACATTGTCCACGGTAACATTTTGTGGCTTGCTTGGTTCTGGATACAAAAGAGCAAAAATAGATCAAATCAAAGGCCTGGGTTTACATGTCTCAGAGTTTTGTATAGTTGGGATAATGCTACATTGTGCGCTTGCTATTGTAGCAGGTAATAAAGTCTTGGACGAAATGGCAAAAGAGCGAATTCTGTTTGCATGTGCATCTATGAACAAACTTTCGACACATATGCCTGACAGGCAAATGCTTTTCGGAATGTTTGCGTGTAAACGCTCTTTCTCGTTCTTGCTTTATCTCTCTCCCTATATATATGTATAAAATAGGAGCCCATACTGAGGCTGGTGTTGCATTCATGTTGCTTCACCGCCGTTGGGTTAAACCAAGTTACACTTAAACTAGATCTTTTCAATGTGGATAAAATTTATTCCACTTCATTTGGTTTGTTTTACGTACCTAATAATCTTCTCCTAACTTACGCACGTCGCTCATATTATTTGTGGTAAACTTGCCTAACTTTATCACGTGGTATCTTTTAAATAACTTTCAGACATTATATACGTACCGCGGATTCGCTTACAAACAATTTCCTCCATATGCTCCTTTAGCGAGTATTTATGTCGTCCTCTACGTTTAAGTTATTTGTTATATTTTATTTCATATCGACATTTCGAGTGATTGGCTGTTTCTTGACATCCCCGTGTGGCTGCGCTTGACGTGCATGTCAACAAAGTGCCTACCTGTCTAGTACCCACTACCTCGTCCATACTGACGCCAGGAGACAGTTGGTGGTTGCTGGAGGTGACTGGATGCACGGTCTTTTTGGCCGTGCTAGGCTCGAAGAGTGGTTACATGCACTCAGTATGGAGCGGACTACCGTCCAGCCGCCGCCTTGTGTGCGTTTGATTCCAAAATACAGCGTGCTTGTGTTTGCCTGTGGAGGAATGTGGGCCGGCTCCGTTGATGAAACGTGGCTCCCATCCACATGCCTCCCGGTCTTATTCCTTCGGGTTTAAACTGGATATGGGGTATGTGGTTGGAGCTGTGGATGGTGCAGCGCAAATCACCCATGGTCCTCCTGTAGGAGCAGGTGTTCTGTGGCTGGGCACAGTGACAGGCAAATCCGAAACCGGATGCCACCAAGCATATATATATATATATATATATATATATTGTATTAATAAATCAATTTGCTTTAAGCGCAAATCTGCTAACCCACCTGAACTGAGAGAAAGCATTAAAAGTATGCTATAATGTTAACTAACTATGTTAAATACTGTCAGCGTTGCGCAACAACAAGATCTGGTAATGAAACACATGTTTGTCATTAATCATTCTGTCTCACAGGCCCGCCATTGACTTGTTCAAGGTGGATTTCCGCAAAGCCTTTCAATCGCATCTTTAGTCCACCACGAATGCTGTAGTTTATCAATGCATCTCTGTTGGTACGCGATAGAAAGCTGAAATGCATTCCGCCCCTTTGAGATAACGTGTCTGAGTTAAAAACCTACTTCGTGTATCCGGGGCAGAATCCCTTCTAGAGGAAGTGGGCTGAGGTATCTTGCTTCAACAAGCCTAAGCCTGTTTTAGCCAAATGTTTTTTCACTTAGTTTCTAATCAAGTGAGCAGCCTTGCTTTCATCACCCAGTGCAAAAAAGGTTCGTATGTGATGGTCTTTATCATAACCTTACGAAATTCAATCGTGTAACTTGCTCCGATCACGCCTTCCGGTGCAGCGTTTGCACCTTGTTTCGGAAACGCAGATCAGATTCCGTGACGTTATGCGTTACCTTAGGGTAGCAAGCCTGGACTCCAATGTACAGAAATGCACCCCGCGTCTCAACCCAGTTAAGTCACACCTCGTTTTATGTAAAACATTTGGAGCTCAATTGTAACAGACAAGGGCTGTCAAATTTGCTAGGTTTGAGGAATTGGCCACACGTGTGAGAGGAAGCCTATCAGTAAAACAAAAAGTGGCTGATTTTGACGCCTGGTACTTATAATGTGAGCATTTTTGTAGCTCCCAAAAGTTAGATGTCACCAGGTCTCACCCACGCCACATTTTTGTGGCGCAAGGTAACGATCAGGTAGAAGACAGGAAAACCACAAGAACTAGCGAGGATAAAAACAGGCACAGGCATCGTGGCCGTGATCAGTGAGAGCAGTGCAGACTCCATAGAAAGAGTGGAGAGCGGTTCGCGAGCGATGAACGGTTCCGGCCCGAGCTGAGGATAAAAGTGAAGATATTGGTTAAGAAGTCAATAAAGCAGGCAGAATCACCTTAGTCGGTGAATTCAGCAGTAACCCCAAGCAGTGGAACGCGATTGTGGTCAAGCAAAGCCAAAACATTGAAACAACTCGAGGCGAGCCCAAATTTGGGGTCCGGAATCGAAAATATGACGTTAGGTAAGCGTACAAGATGCACCAAGCTGGATAAAACCGATCCACGGATGTGAAAAGTAGTAACTCCCCAGGTATGTTGCATTGTAGGACAGAAACATGAGCAATGCATGCGCGCGTATTTGACAGGTTGGTTACTCTTGGTCGCGCACAGTAAGGATTGTGCTGTTTGGGCCTCCCATTCTTGCTTCCATATGACATGAAGCATGGTCTTTTAGACCATTATTGAAAATACCTTTGAATCTAATAATAAAAATGTCGCATAATATGTCTCACGATGAACTCTCATAGCTACCATCTAGCTCTGTCCTCTACACTAACTAGTCGTCAATTCCATAGGTATCCGTATACTAACGTCTGGTTTAGGCGTTCACATGGTCTGTGGATAACAAAATCAGCTGGAGGAGTTTTGACTCAGCGACAGGTTGTAGCCAAGTAGAAGTAAGCTTTCTGAGTCCAATAATATGCGCAAAGCAGTGTTTTCCAGTTGGGCAGTTGTACTGTCACCAATAAAAATAACTAGTCCCATGAAAATTCAGCTAGCTTTGTTGGACTGGATGTACCCATTAAATAAAACTGTCTAAAAGAAATCGTGAAGATGTTATAGTTGATGGAGAGACAAGAGAGAATATCGTGTGTCCACTCGACCGTAAGCCCATCGAATTCAGCGGCCAACCGTACAACGTGAGTAGCAATACTGTCCAACATGGATTATTTGGAAGCATAAACCAAAACTGCAAGTGAAGTTGTACTCTGAATCATTAAATGTACTGGTGACCTTTTTGTAATATAAGACAACTTAACCCAACAAACAAATAGTCGCTGATGAACAGCAAGGATGAAACAATAGTAACTGATCCAAATGCCGAATACAATAAGCTACGCTGCACCAATGATAAGCAGTTGTGGTGGTGTTTTCGACCCTCATGCATGTATGCAAAATGACCACATGATGCAGTCCTTATGACACGTAGTAACCGGCCCCCATAGCATTTGTTGCTAAACTGTCCCCATGTAATCTTCTTTTACGCCTCTCTGGCCAAAAATGAGTAAAATCGCCAAAAGCCAAGCTAACTATATTTCGGCAGAGAGTACACTGACGGGTTATCCACAGCTCAGTTGACTTTGAAGCAGTCACTAAGTTAGTTATTCGTGCGCCAGTTTTTGACTTAAATCATTACTCTGGCCTATTAGACAGCGAGAGAGTTTGAAAAAGCCCATCGGTTACGGGAGTAGCCGGAACTGTTTTCTGCAGGTGCGCGTTACTGACGAGTCCCAATAGGACGAAACGGCCGTCTGGCGCTTTCCTGGATGTGTGGTGGCTGTCTGCCTGGGTCTAACTGCGACAAACCTACAGAAAAAAGTAGTTACATCTATTAGGTAGGTAAAGTAGACTAGTACAAGTGTCAGCTAAACAAGCAAGTGTGAAACTGGTATCGATTGCACCATTTTTGGTTACTTAACGGAACCATTTCAAAGTAGGTGGGAAGAAATAATCTACCCCTGAAATTAGCTGGTAGGTTGTTGCGCCCTGAGACTGAAGACATTTAGCAGTCCACCAATACCTTGGATTATGGTGAACAAGTCTCAGCTTTCTCAAAGCTCAGCTAAGCTATTTGTTGCAAGCGACTTTTGTTGGATCATCGCAGTGCTGGATTAACACATCCAGCAAGCTATAGTTTTAGTTATCGGCTTTCCTTATAGACGGTGTCGAACTGTGGTGATTCATATGTGTCGCGCTACTGGGTCATCATCATTCAGTTCACCTATTACCTCAGTTAAAGCAGCTGTCTTTAGCCAAGATGAAATAGCACCGACATTCCTTTCGTAACTGCGTGCATCTGACCCAGCCAATACAGTGGGCAGGCAAAGTCGAGTTTCTTCCGTTTCGTCATCGCAGTAACTGAGGCTTGAATGGCAACACAATGACAGGAAGAAGATATATACAGCCTCAAGTAACGTGAACAAGACACCAGTACCAGTGAGCTAAGATGCATCTGTGTATTATGCAAAAGCATAAATGGAACAGAATCGAAATGCTTGTGGAAGGATTTATGGTTTAAAGGATATGCTCGGAATATGCTGTAATCCACTAGCTTATGTTTCTTCAAGTACACAGTTTACGCAGAAAATAGGCAGGACTTTTGCCATTCTTATGAGTAAACTAAAGAAACCAACAGAAGAAATGTCAGATGACCGAAATTATATCTGCACCTGATCCTTTTCCTACAACCGGACCATAGAGGGCAAGGGACTCCCATTTGTGTCCTTTATTCACTCGGGTAGAGAGCAGGATGAGTGCTACAAAATTTGTATTTTACTAATTGCTTATCAGAAGGGGATGAGTGCCCATTTAATCTCGAACGGACCTCATGCTTACATGAAAACGCTATCTTCCGGGAAATCTTTTCTCGTAAGATCGGCTTAAAATTAAGTTTACGGTTGACAAACTACTTATCGGCCAGGTGGAAGCAAAGAGCAATTTTGTATCGTGAAGTTTCACTCAGTTCAACAAACCAAGAAAGCCTGCTGG